CTTTGGACAGGGTCCCCTGGTGTTGCGTCAAGGTTTATTGTCTGGGGCTGCTTGGCTCTTGTCCGTGACACCTCTGCGGACAAGATCTCGCCTCGCTTTGTCCCCTGTGTCTTCCTTGGTTTCCCAGAGGGCTCCCCTGACTTCACCTTTTACCACCCTCCCTCCCACCGGTTCGTTGACTCTCGTGACGTCCGCTTCAACGAGTCCGTCCCCTACTACGTCCGGTACCCCTGTCGAGGTCTCTCGGTTCCCCCCCCTCCCCTCTTCCTGGCTCCAGCTCCTCCTCCTCCCGCCCCTCCTCCTCCCGCCCCTACTCCTCCGGTACCCCCCCCTATTCCCGCTCCGTCTGGTGTGTCCCACGCTACTCCCCCCCCCTCGGTACCCCCCCAGGTCTCTCCTCATTCCCCAGAGTTGTCCTCACCGCCTCCGCAGCAGCCGTCAGCGCTTCCTTTACCGGCCACTGCGGCCTCTGAGGGTGTTGGTGCTCAAGGTGAGGGCTCTGGCGGTGCTCGCTCTGGGGATGCTGGCGTTAGAGCTGTTCGTGCACCTACATGAGCAGCCAGTTCTGGGGGTGTTGGCGTTGGCGCTGAGCGTGCACCTGCCACAACTGCCCGTTCCGAGGGTACTGGAGCTGTTGGTGGTGCTGGAGCTGGTGGTGTTTCTGGAGCTGGAGAGTCTGGGGCTGGTGCTGGTGCCACTGGAGGCACCACGACTGGGGGTGCGTGTACACCTCCTACAAGTGCTAGTCGTGCTGCCGCGGGAGGTACTCGCTCTGGGGGTGCTCAGCCGGGTACTGTCGAGGACGGAGCCGGTTCTTCTGCTGCGTCTCCTGACACCACTCCTCCTCCCCACCCCTACCCGACTCGTTACCAGGCCCTTCTTCGTCTAGAGCGTGAGGAGCAGCAGCGTTTGGAGCGTGAGAGGTCGGAGGTTCAGCAGCGGGTGGAGCGTGAGAGGTTGGAGTTGCAGCGGGAGCAGCAGCAGCAGCAGAAGCAGCACCCGAAGCAGCCTGCGGCCCCTGTTTCTGGCCTTCGGGCCCTTGGTCTCCCCTCCTCTCCTCATGTGTTCGGTCCTACGTTTCCTCCTCCGGACTCAGCTCCGGCTGTGTTCCCTCGTTCTTAGTCTCCTCCGTCTCCCTCTCCTCTCGCCCACACTTGGACCTCTCATCCCCCTCGTGCTCGTCCTTCGTCACCTGTCACTGACCTCCGTACCGTGTTGTTTCGTCCTAGTCCTCCTCGTCCTCCTCTGTCTGTTCTTCCTCGTCCTCCTGAGTCGTCCCTCACTGCTTCCCTGTCCACTCCGATCACTGACTACTACCGCACGTACCGCCCCACACTCTCTCGTATTCTCGCCTCTCTTGTTACAGACCCTCGTGCCTCTCGTTCCTGCGTCGCGGTCCTCACTGCCGCTGTCAGTGACTTTACTGCTACGCGTCGCCTTGACTACGCCACTCGTGTTGTGGCCACTCCTCCTGTCCGTCCTCTGTCCGCCGTGGGTGAGTCTGCCTTTGGCTGTGACGTCCTAGAGGACAGACAGTTTGAGCTAGAGTTCCTGGCAGCTGCTTCGCCTCATCTCTATGCCATGCTCCTCGCTCCTGAGGGAGACCCCGACGCTCCTGACATACCTACTCCTCGCACTTACGCTGAGGCAGTGTCAGGGCCTTGGGCCTCTCAGTAGAGAGCTGCCATGGACGCAGAGATGGCCTCCTACAGGTCCACAGGCACTTACGTTGACGAGGTTCCCCCTCCAGGGGCGAACATAGTTGACGGCATGTGGATCTTCAAGGTGAAGCGGCCGCCGGGATCTCCCCCAGTCTTCAATGCACGCTACGTGGCTAAAGGGTTCAGTCAGCGTGAGGGAGTTGACTTCTTTCAGACCTTTGCGCCCACCCCGAAGATGACCACTCTTTGGGTGTTACTGCTCGTAGCAGCACAGAGAGACTACGAGCTACACTCTCTTGACTTCTCCACTGCCTTCCTCCAGGGCAGTCTACACGAGGAGATCTGGCTGCGTCGTCCTCCAGGCTTCACTGGCTCCTTCCCGCCTGGGACCCAGTGGAACCTCAGACGACCAGTCTACGGTCTACGCCAAGCACCCCGTGAGTGGCACGACACTCTCCGCTCTACTTTGTCTGACCTCGGGTTTGAGCCGTCTTCTGCCAACCCGTTGCTGTTTGTTCGTCATGGGCGCACACCTTTCTTTGTTCTCGTCTACGTTGACGACCTGGTTTTTGCCACAGCCGACACAGTTGCACTCGCGGAGGTGAAGTCCAAACTGCAGAAGAGACACACTTGCACTGACCTTGGGGAACTGCGCCGCTACCTTGGCCGATCTCCAGGGACAGAGCCGCTCGCACCATCACTCTGACTCAGTCACACATGGTGCAGCAGGTCCTTCAGCGGTTCGGGCTTCAGCACTCTTCTCCTACACCCACCCCTCTTGCTGTAGACCACAGAATCACTATGCCTTTTCCTGACGAGCCGTTCGAGCCCAGTGGTCCCTACGCAGAGCTGGTGGACTGCCTCATGTACCTGATGACGTGTACTCGCCCGGACCTTGCCTTCCCTCTTAGCATCCTTTCTCGCTTTGTTGCGACTGGGAGACACCGTCCTGTTCACTGGGCGGCGGCTTAGAGGGTGGCGAAGTACCTCGGCACGACATCAGACATGGGGCTTGTACTTGGAGGGACACAGCCAGTTGTACTCACCGGTCACTTCAACTCCTCCTACGCCGACGACGTTGAGACACAGAGGTCTACGCAGGGTTACTGTTTCAGCCTGAGCTCTGGAGCTGTTTCGTGGAGGTCCACTCGGTCCTCCTCTGTTGCGACTTCTACCGCAGAGGTTGAGATCTACGCTGGAGCCCTTGCTGCATAGGAGCTACGCTGGTTGACCTTCTTGCTCACTGACCTTGGTGAGTTCCCGAGCTCTGCACCGACCTTGTTTGCTGACAACAAAGCGATGATTCTCCTATGTCGTGAGCCTCGACTGGAGAGCAGAGTGAAGCACATCGACGTCAGGTACTTCCTCCTTCGAGAGTTGCAGAGACGCGGACAGGCTCGTCTGGACTTTGTGGCCTCCGAGGCCTAGTGAGTTCTTGCCTCTTGTTTGTGTACCATATATATTAGTTTGTACACTCTTGAACTAGCCTTGTGGCCCTTTGTTTGTGCTCAGACTGTGTGGTGACGTTGTGATCCACCCTGAGCTTTGTTTTCTCTCTTGCTTGTGACTGGTCTTGTGACCTTAGGTTGCGTTTCTTGTTGCTTGGCATTCCCCTCTTAGGCTATGGGGGTGTGTCAAATGTTATAGCCTCTAGTGGGTCATGCTATATGGGGTACAAACAGTTAGGGTTAGGCATTTTTACCCCAACCCAATCAATCCAATCCATTCCGCTGTGTTTAGTTTCTGAGACATACACATATGATAATACTAAGATACCATTTTACTGTTTTACGAATCAAACTACTGATTAATACCGTCATCGCCCAGATATAAGACATATATGTCTTATCTCGTACAGTAGAAAAAATGCTTGTGTTATCTTGTATTTGGGGAGGTTTTGGGTGTCTTATAAGCCTTATTAATGGACAAAGAACCCTTTAGAAGATACCCCTTCGTTATACAATTCCCCCTAACCCTTACAGTAGCTTAAAGCCCGAGTACAGCATGGTATTTTTCAAGTTCAAGATTCTTGAACTTGAAGTCGTAAAAAACAGGGTTACCCTCTTTTGTTTGAAAGAACTCTCGCGACCCAGGGAAAACTTAGTGCGACGGTCACTTCTGATTGGTTTCTGTGCCCAGTCGCACAACACATCCGAACATCGCCTACCATGTTGCCGTGGTCACCTCTCACATAACTTGACGACCAAGTGGTACTCCTAATCCACTAGAGTAGGCACGTAACTAAGAAACACGCGACAGGGCGATAAAAGCTAGTTTAGGTAGAAGCGTTTTTTTCCTTCCAGCTCTCGTCACTCCCGCTGTCTTGCCAATAGCTGAGGAGCACCCGCTTCTTGCCAAACACGCTATTACCGTACCATTTTTGCATGCCAGCGACGGGACACCCGTTCTAGTGCACTACAGTCATGGGTCGGCTAAGGCTGCTGGTTACCTCCAATACAACGCCCGTAATGCATTGGCCAGCATAGCATGGCCCGCCCAACAAAAACTTGGCTTCAGTCCGCCTTCAGGCGTCATCCTCGCCTCGTCCAGACTCCCACACTTAGTATGTGGCGAGTGCATCACCTCATCGCCCGTGCTTCCCTAGCGATTCCCTCAACCCCACGTTACGAGAGCTTCTGCACTCGCGCATGCCCTCGTCGCCCGCGCGTCCCTCGTCGCGCAATGTTTCCCTCGTCGCAAGCGTTTCCCTCGTCACGCCAGCTTGTCCTTGTCTCCCACGCTCACCCGCGCTTCCCACGCTTACCCACGTTTCCCGCGCTGTCCAGCGACACCCGCGCTTACCTTCGTCACCCGCGCTTACCCGTGTCATCCCCACTTACCCGCGCTTATCCGCGTTTCCCGCGCTTACCCGAGGTCACCCGCGCTTACCCGCATCATCACTGCCCGCGTCTCGCACTCTTTCCCGCGTGTGAAACGCTTACTCGAGTCTCCCGCACTTACCCTCGTCTCTTGCGTTGCTCCTCAACGCCCTCGCCTCAGTTTCCCCCATCCACACGCATCTCCCCTTATCGCCCATGTCTACCCAAGTCGCCACTCCCCGTCGTTAGCGAAGGCCCCCACACACCACGCGCATTCTCCCCACTTGTCCGCCTCCTTTCCCCCCCACACACTACGCGCATTTTCCCCCACTTGTCCGCCTCCTTTCCCCCCCTCACACCACGCCCATTCCCCCCACTTGTCCGCCTCCTTTTCCCCCCCTCACACCACGCGCATTCCCCCCACTTGTCCGCCTCCTTTTCCCCCCCTCACACCACGCGCATTCCCCCCACTTGTCCGCCTCCTTTCCCCCCCGCACACCACCAGCATCCCCCCCACTTGTCAGAGGGCGAGAGACAAAGTGGGAGGGACAGAGGGGAAGGGAAAGAGGGGGAGTGAAGGAGGGGTAGGGACGAAAGTGCAGGGACGAGAGGGGAGGGATAGTGGGGGAGGGACAGAGGGGCAGGGACAGAGGGGGAGGGACAGAGGGGAGGGAACGAGGGGGAGGGATAGAGGGGGAGGGACAGAGGGGAGGAAAGAAGGGGAAGGACAGAAGGGGAAGTACAAGGGGGAGAGGGGGGAGGACAGATGGGGAGAGACAGAGGGGGGAGGTACAGGGGGGGGGACAGGGGGGGAGAGACAGAGGGGGAAGGGCAAAGGGGGAGAGACAGAGGGGGAAGGACACAGGTGGAGTGACAGATGGTGAAGGGCAGAGGGGGGGAGACAAAAGGGGAAGGACGGAGGGGGAGGATAAGAGGGGGAGGGGCACAGAGGGGGAAGGACAGAGGGTGAGAGCGGGTACTTCCCCCACTCCCTCTCCTCGTCGACCTCACTTCCCCAGGCTTGTTTACACCCCTCTTTATTTTGACCAACCTCCCTTTCTCCCAACAGCTCTGTTTACCCCACAGTCTATTCTCCTTTGCCTCACCTGCCACTCCCCCCTTCCTCCTCCCTGCTTCCCCCCTCCCTCCTTCCTGCTTCCCCCCTCCCTCCTTCCTGCTTCCCCCCTCCCTCCTCCATGCTTCCCCCCTCCCTCCTTCCTGCTTCCCCTCGTCCCCTCCCCTTCTTTCCCCCATCCCCTTCCCTGCTTCCCTCCATCCCCTTCCCTGCTTTCCCCCATCCCCTACCCTGCTTCCCCCCATCCCCCTCCCTGCTTCCCCCCATCCCCTTCCCTGCTTCCCCCCATCCCCTGCCCTGCTTCCCCCCATCCCCTCCCCTGCTTCCCCCCATCCCGTCCCGTGCTTTCCCCCATCCCCTACCCTGCTTCCCCCCATCCCCCTCCCTGCTTCCCCCCATCCCCTTCCCTGCTTCCCCCCATCCCCTGCCCTGCTTCCCCCCATCCCCTTCCCTACTTTCCCCCCATCCCCTTCCCTGTTTCCCCCAATCCCCTTCCCTGTTTCCCCCCATCCCCTTCCCTGCTTCCCCCCCATCCCCTTCCCTGCTTCCCCCCATCACCTTCCCTGCTTCCCCCCATCCCCTTCCCTGCTTCCCCCCATCCCCTTCCCCGCTTCCCCCCATCCCCTTCCCTGCTTCCCCCCATCCCCTTCCCTGCTTCCCCCCCCATCCTCTCCCTCCCCATGTACAATCGCAAAGAAAAGGGGGGACGCACGCGCAACAGGGGGGCAGCGCAGCAGACTTGTGTGCAATCTCACTGACTTGTGTGCAATCTCACTGACTTGTGTGCAATCTCACTGACTTGTGTGCAATCTCAGTGACCAGCGGCATGCTGCAACATACCCCCCACTCCTTTCATACTCCCCACTCCTCTCATACCCCCCACTCCTTTCATACTCCCCACTCCTCTCATACCCCCCACTCCTTTCATACTCCCCACTCCTCTCATACCCCCCACTCCTTTCATACTCCCCACTCCTCTCATACCCCCCACTCCTTTCATACTCCCCACTCCTCTCATACCCCCCACTCATTCCATACAGTGGACTCCTCCCACTCCTCTCATACTCCCCATTCCTCTCATACCCCGCACTCCCCTCGTATGCCCAACTCCTCTCATACCCCACAGTCCCCTCATACCCCCTGCTCCTCTCATATCCCTACACCCTCGTTCCAAACTTCCCACTCCCTTCATATCACCCACTCCTGAAATACCCACCGCTAATGTGAATTCAAATTGTCACTATTTCGTCTGGTCCCGCTTTCCACCTATGCACTGCTTCCCACGCTTGCACCCCTGCTTTCCGCCCTTGCACCCCTGCTTCCCACCCTTGCACCCCAGCTTCCCACCCTTGCACCCCTGCTTCTCCCCCTTGCACCCCTGCTTTCCACCCTTGCACCCCTGCTTTCCACCCTTGCACCCCTGCTGTCAGCCCTTGCACCCCTGCTGTCAGCCCTTGCACCGCTGCTGTCAGCCCTTGCACTCCTGCTTTTCTGCTTCAAGAGCAGCAGCAAGTCCCTCCAGAGATCCTATAGCTGCCACTGGTTCGTCTGCTCCTACTCTGAGCTACTACCGGTAAAATTTTGAGCCCTCAAGTCGTGCGCCTTCTATCCCACCCATGCATCTGCCATGTGTTGGCAGGCTAACTGATGTGTCGATTCCAGTACTGTGGCTCACTTCACTGCGCATTGTGAACGAGGTCCTTGTGAAATGCAAGTATAAGCCATCCTGAAGTAGTGTACATTGGATGCCAAGTGGTTACCTTGGCAATAATTTGCAATAAAGTGCCAACAGAGCTGGGCACTGACACCTTTGGAGTAAGATAACTGTTACACATCATCATGGATGTATCCTTTTTGGGATACCAAACAAGCTAGTGCCCTAGGCAGAATGGAACATGAGCTGGATTAGGGTCTCAAGAATCGAAGCAATGGAGTAGTTTCACCGGGCTAACTTCATCCACACGTGTAACGTATATTGCAACTATAATATGTGCAAGTTTATTTCGCAAAGAAGCATGATTAGGTTTAGGACAGAACGGCATAGTCCTCCACACACATTCAAGCATGACATGTTCAAGACCAAATTAGCACAGTGGGGATGGAAACACAACCCCATTTATTCATCCTGACCTGCCACCCACACCTCCACTTCCTCCCCGTCATAGTGGCCTGCTAGCCACCACTCATCACTATCGTCGCTCCACTCCTCCGCATCTTTTATCACTGCGTCTGCCACATCATCCACTTGATCCGATGGCAATTCCGCCTTATCCCTCTCACAGTGGTAACCTGCAGCTATAGCCAATGAGAAGGAGGATAAGCCAGAATTTAGAGTGGTGTCCCTGTAGCTATGAATAATCTCAACCGCAGAGCATGGCAGGGCATGCCTCGAGGGGGGGAGGGAGAAGGGCGGAGCGGAGCATGACAGGGGAGGGCAGGGCAGGGCATGGCATGGCATGGGAGAGGCATGGCATGACGCGGATGGTGCAGACAAGGGCAGGGCGGGCCATGAGAAAGCAGGGCAGGCATGGCCCCTCTAGTCATGGCATCGCAGAAAAATGAGGGTGCTGACAAGGGCGGGACAGGGCATTGCAGGGCAGGACATGGCAGGGCAGGGCAGGGCAGGTCAGGGCATGACAGGGCAGGGCAGGGCAGGGCAGGGCAGGGCAGGGCAGGGTAGGGCATGACAGGGCATGGCAGGGCAGGGCATCTCCTGGAATAGCATGGCATGTTTAGTTGGAGCAGGGAAAGGAGGTGCGGGGCAGGACAGGGAAGATGGGGAGTGGCATGCCGAGGTGGAGTAGACAAGATCGAGGCGAGACCAAACAGGGCATGGTAGGGAATGGGAGATCTGAGCAGGCCAAGTTATAGCATGGTGGGCGATGGGTGTTTGTCAAATACCTTTGGGGGGGTCGATTGTCGTGGTGGGCGTCGTGGTGGTTCTGCGTGATGCCGAGCAAGCCTCGCGCGGGTTTGAAAGCTCGCCTGATATTCGCCTTGGGCACTTAGCGTGGGAGGTTCGACACATCACCTATAAGCAACATACAGATGGGTTGGAAGACGCGGATGGTGAACACATTACGCTTGCTAGAATGTTTACGTCGAGTATGAGCCATACTGAGCAATAACAACTCACGTTGCGCTGCCGTTGCTTACCCAAACGACGGCGAGCAGATCCACGAGACGTGCCGCACACCGGACCGAACCCGCCTTGGCGCACTGGTGTCACTGGCTCAAGAACAGATGCTATGGGCTGTGCGATCGATGCATCGACCAGCTGCGCAGTCGTTGCTGTTGATTCAGGCATCTCGTCAACATCCACAGTATCTCCATGCCGCAGTGTTCGTTGCCATTCCTCCATGATGCGATCAACCCAAGCCCAATCCATTTTAGTCAAGATGCGCTCCTTGGATCCGCGCCTGATCCTCGTCACCTGTCGGACTCTAGTGCGCTAGGCGGTCACCAGGCGATCCATGCCGTGATTCCAATGAAGAACCGCGAGACCGACTCGTGCCGGGAAGCTGCCCTGAAACCGTATCCGCTTAGGTGCGTATTTGATGATCAAAGAATGGAAAGACTCGTTCAGAGAACTCGACGCGCCATGCACAAAGGACTTAACCTTCTCAGAGCTTAAGTGCTTGGAGAACCATGCACAAACCGCCTTGTGTGTCGACGACCCAAACTCATATATGGCATGATCCTTGCCCCACCCCTCTCTGACGCAGCGAGGTGGGGTCTCTCCTACCCCAGTGCAGCCGGAGTGGTCACCGGCCCAGTGGTTGGGTGGGCTCCCAAGCTCCCTCGCCACGTCGGCCGGGGTCATAGGATGCCCCTCTTTCGTCTTCGCACCACATCGCACCATCACGTGATAGAAATGAGAGGATAAGCGTTGTGCCACAGTTTGTTCCTCCTTGCCAGAATCGATATGATCTTCACCTCGTTTCCGCTTTCGGCGACCAGTCCACCGAGGTAGTGTCTCGGGCTCGCTGAACGCATTAGGGTTCTGCACTTCGGTATCAGCCCCGACTCCATCTAGCGCATCTGTGAATGTTAGAAAATGAAATACGAAAACTGAGTATAGAGTAGCACTTGGATCAAGCATGCCCAAAACTTGGTAAGGGGTGTGTGCATACCAGTCTCCGTGTCGGTGTTGGCCCAAGAAGTGGATCCACCGATGAAATGGGAGTTTCCGTTTGCGCCAGCGTGCACAAGCATGATGAGGGTGCTCGCCAAAGATGTCGGTCGCGCACCCTGCGTCGGGTGCACATCATAACTCCATAGCTCTTCCACGTCTTCCCATTGAACGTCAACGTTCCACTCCTCCGGTGTCGGCCTATCCACGGTAGCCCGCTCAGCTCCCTCATCCCGCTCCCGCACATCGGCATCAGAAGCACCAGGCACCTCGCCGTAGGTCACAGGCACCTCCACCGGGCTACACTCCCCCCCCATCCGCACCACCTTTCTTAGCTCGGGAAACTTCCATTTCGCCTCTTCCAGGGTCATCTTCCGGTAAACAATCGTGCCCATGGCTTTACAAACGGCTTCCACCAAGTCCCCTTTCAGTGAAGCTTTCGACTCTTTCTCCAACCCCCGTGCTGTCAGCCATTGCCGTAGCCCAGCGATAGTCGCAAGCCATAGATCCTCAATACAGGTCGCCTTGTCCACAGCCACTGGTGCACGGACCGCATCCTGAAGTTCTTTCAGAAATAACTTGTAAAGCGTCCGCTTTACATGCCACCAGTCCACCTGGTGGTTCAACCCCCTTTCGGACGCTGCCCCACGAAAAGTAGTCCCTTGGTCGGAGATGATCCCTTCTACCGTAAACCCTTTCTGCGCCAGTTCATCTAACCCTTTATCGAAAGCCACCCTTTCCAGTCGCACCGAAGAATTGTCGTCCACCCCTTTTCGTGTCGTCGCACAGTACACTATCTTTCTGGACGGCAAATCTAAAAACGATACTGTACACCACTCTCCCTCACGGACATGTGACCATCGACCATCGACCACTACATATTCTGTAGGGATTTCTCGCTTCATCATCTCTTCTCGTACCGCATCCATAGACTTATCAGCCTCTCTCAATATAGCATTCCATAACCCATTATCATCACCAAGGTACTTGTAAAATGTGCCCTTCCCTGGTGCTGGCAAGCCGACGTTGCGACAAAACTCCCACATTTGCTGATACCCCATTCCGGCTAAAGCAAATGCCCCGACAAATTTCGACTGTAGAATCGGAGAATGCGCGCCTACACCGGTTCGTGCTCTCTCGATACGCCGGCTCGGACATGACCAAAACTCTACACCATGCGAACACGCGTCGCATCTCCAAAACATGCCGACCGATGCCCATGAGAACTTCCATGACCTCAATGTCATCCCCTCACTACACGCTTGCTCATGTGAACACACCAATCGACACCCTTGGAAGAACCCAACCAACTGTCGAGGCTCGACAAGACATACCCGTTGTCCGTCGATGTCATCCACGCTCGGAGCAGAAGGCCAGTGCCTAGGGACACTCCCACGCGCAACTGCTCGTCGGTGGCTGTTGGCAGGCCTAGTGGACATAAAGAGGAGGGGAGTTTGGACATGGATACAACGACGTGTTTGATAGTGCACAATGACATTTTGCCATATGTAGCCACCACACCCACTACTCTCACCCTTGCACTGGCCGTTCTGGAGTCGTCGTCACACTTCGTGCAGGCGCGGCCACCGCAGTATCTCTGGGCACTCCGGAAACGCCCTCATCAGCATCCATGCCTACAGTGCCTACGGCTAACGCATCTGGCAGCTCGGTCCCCATGACGTTGCCACTCCCTCCATGGTTGGCCCCTGAAACGTATTGGGAGTGTGGACGGGACGTCGTTTATTACTCACGTCCAAAACAAGCCAACTTCAGATGCATCTTCCAAATCTTACCTGAATTACACGTCGCTGCAAATGCCGCGCCACGCCTGGCGCCTCCCCATGATCGACCGGAAACCTGTCGCAGTCTTCCGCGCGCATCATACTGCACCAGTGGGAAGGAGTATCTAAGCCCGGCCAGCACTCGATTGGGCCGTTGATGCAGGGCTACTACATCCTCCATAGTTCCTTTCGCGCGTTCTTTAAAGATGCGGCCGTACTCTTTTCGATGTCTTTCCACAATTACGCCGGTATGAGTGTCGTTTGAAGCAGGATCTGTTAGGCAGAGAATGTGCAGGCAGAGAATGTTCAGGCATGTGATACATTTCAAGGGTGTAGGACATTCGATAGAAAGACAACCAGCACTTCAGATCATGCACACATCACATGCTCGCCCAAACCTTGTGTCATACCTGCTGCTAGGCCCGCCTCAATTAGTCGGTTGGTCGCTTGGGGTGCTGACTCAACCAAAAAGTGAATCACATCATCTGTCGTCGCCATCGTGTCCCCAAGGTACAATGCCGAGAGCCCGACGCGGAGAACACACAAAAGTGGCCGCATGTGGACCGAAATATTGACCGTTCCTCTCTGGGCATCCTTACATGCTTGTATTGCAGGATGCCCTCCCGCACCTACACCAACCCCTGCCATCTGAAACCATGTCAGCGCATACCCCGAGGAGAGGAAGGAGATGGATGGTTAGGGCGTTGGCACAGCAGGGACAAGGATTAGGGCATCTATAGATGTCTGCAGAAATGTGCAAATGCACGTCATGCAGCACCGAGCGGTGAGTGCACGCAATAGAGAAAGGGCCCAAAGCACCAGCAACTCTGGTTGCTGCTGCCTGGGGACTGAACGGGTGGGTGCATGGTGCTGAAACCAGGCCCAAGGCAGCTGCATCCAGAGATGCTGCTGCCTTGGGACAGAACAGGTGGGTTTACAGTGGTGAAAGCAAGCCCAAGGCAGCAGCATCCAAAGTTGCTGCTGCCTTGGGACTGAACAGGTGGGTTTACGGTGGTGAAAGCAAGCCCAAGGCAGCAGCAACTCTGGATGTTGCTGCCTGGGGACTGAACAGGTGGAGGCATGGTGCTGAAACCAGGCCCAAGGCAGCAGCATCCACGGTTGCTGCTGCCTTGGGACAGAACAGGTGGGTTTACATTGGTGAAAGCAAGCCCAAGGCAGTAGCAACTCTGGTTGTTGCTGCCTGGGGACTGAACAGGTGGAGGCATGGTGCTGAAACCAGGCCCAAGGCAGCAGCATCCAAAGTTGCTGCTGCCTTGGGACTGAACAGATGGGTTTAAAATGGTGAAAGCAAGCCCAAGGCAGCAGCATCCAAAGTTGCTGCTGCCTTGGGACTGAACAGGTGGGTTTACAGTGGTTCCGCGCAAGCCCAAGGCAGTAGCAACTCTGGTTGTTGCTGGCTGGGGACTGAACAGGTGGAGGCATGGTGCTGAAACCAGGCCCAAGGCAGCAGCATCCACGGTTGCTGTTGCCTTGGGACAGAACAGGTGGGTTTACAACGCTGAAACCAGGCCCAAGGCAGCAGCATCCAAAGTTGCTGCTGCCTTGGGACTGAACAGATGGGTTTAAAATGGTGAAAGCAAGCCCAAGGCAGCAGCATCCAAAGTTGCTGCTGCCTTGGGACTGAACAGGTGGGTTTACAGTGGTTCCGCGCAAGCCCAAGGCAGTAGCAACTCTGGTTGTTGCTGGCTGGGGACTGAACAGGTGGAGGCATGGTGCTGAAACCAGGCCCAAGGCAGCAGCATCCACGGTTGCTGCTGCCTTGGGACTGAACAGGTGGGTTTAAAATGGTGAAAGCAAGCCCAAGGCAGCAGCAACTCTGGTTGTTGCTGCCTGGGGACTGAACAGGTGGAGGCATGGTGCTGAAACCAGGCCCAAGGCAGCAGCATCCAGAGATGCTGCTGCCTTGGGACTGAACAGGTGGGTTTACAATGGTGAAAGCAAGCCCAAGGCAGCAGCATCCAAAGCTGCTGCTGCCTTGGGACAGAACAGGTGGGTTTACAGTGGTGAAAGCAAGCCCAAGGTAGCAGCAACTCTGGTTGTTGCTGCCTGGGGACTGAACAGGTGGAGGCATGGTGCTGAAACCAGGCCCAAGGCAGCAGCATCCACGGTTGCTGCTGCCTTGGGACAGAACAGGTGGGTTTACATTGGTGAAAGCAAGCCCAAGGCAGTAGCAACTCTGGTTGTTGCTGCCTGGGGACTGAACAGGTGGAGGCATGGTGCTGAAACCAGGCCCAAGGCAGCAGCATCCAAAGTTGCTGCTGCCTTGGGACTGAACAGATGGGTTTAAAATGGTGAAAGCAAGCCCAAAGCAGCAGCATCCAAAGTTGCTGCTGCCTTGGGACTGAACAGGTGGGTTTACAGTGGTTCCGCGCAAGCCCAAGGCAGTAGCAACTCTGGTTGTTGCTGGCTGGGGACTGAACAGGTGGAGGCATGGTGCTGAAACCAGGCCCAAGGCAGCAGCATCCACGGTTGCTGCTGCCTTGGGACTGAACAGGTGGGTTTAAAATGGTGAAAGCAAGCCCAAGGCAGTAGCAACTCTGGTTGTTGCTGCCTGGGGACTGAACAGGTGGAGGCATGGTGCTGAAACCAGGCCCAAGGCAGCAGCATCCACGGTTGCTGCTGCCTTGGGACTGAACAGGTGGGTTTAAAATGGTGAAAGCAAGCCCAAGGCAGTAGCAACTCTGGTTGTTGCTGCCTGGGGACTGAACAGGTGGAGGCATGGTGCTGAAACCAGGCCCAAGGCAGCAGCATCCAGAGGTGCTGCTGCCTTGGGACAGAACAGGTGGGTTTACAGTGGTGAAAGCAAGCCCAAGGCAGTAGCAACTCTGGTTGTTGCTGCCTGGGGACTGAACAGGTGGAGGCATGGTGCTGAAACCAGGCCCAAGGCAGCAGCATCCAGAGGTGCTGCTGCCTTGGGACAGAACAGGTGGGTTTACAGTGGTGAAAGCAAGCCCAAGGCAGTAGCAACTCTGGTTGTTGCTGCCTGGGGACTGAACAGGTGGAGGCATGGTGCTGAAACCAGGCCCAAGGCAGCAGCATCCAGAGGTGCTGCTGCCTTGGGACAGAACAGGTGGGTTTACAGTGGTGAAAGCAAGCCCAAGGCAGTAGCAACTCTGGTTGTTGCTGCCTGGGGACTGAACAGGTGGAGGCATGGTGCTGAAACCAGGCCCAAGGCAGCAGCATCCACGGTTGCTGCTGCCTTGGGACAGAACAGGTGGGTTTACATTGGTGAAAGCAAGCCCAAGGCAGTAGCAACTCTGGTTGTTGCTGCCTGGGGACTGAACAGGTGGAGGCATGGTGCTGAAACCAGGCCCAAGGCAGCAGCATCCAAAGTTGCTGCTGCCTTGGGACTGAACAGATGGGTTTAAAATGGTGAAAGCAAGCCCAAGGCAACAGCATCCAAAGTTGCTGCTGCCTTGGGACTGAACTGGTGGGTTTACAGTGGTTCCGCGCAAGCCCAAGGCAGTAGCAACTCTGGTTGTTGCTGGCTGGGGACTGAACAGGTGGAGGCATGGTGCTGAAACCAGGCCCAAGGCAGCAGCATCCACGGTTGCTGCTGCCTTGGGACAGAACAGGTGGGTTTACAACGCTGAAACCAGGCCCAAGGCAGCAGCATCCAAAGTTGCTGCTGCCTTGGGACTGAACAGATGGGTTTAAAATGGTGAAAGCAAGCCCAAGGCAGCAGCATCCAAAGTTGCTGCTGCCTTGGGACTGAACAGGTGGGTTTACAGTGGTTCCGCGAAAGCCCAAGGCAGTAGCAACTCTGGTTGTTGCTGGCTGGGGACTGAACAGGTGGAGGCATGGTGCTAAAACCAGGCCCAAGGCAGCAGCATCCACGGTTGCTGCTGCCTTGGGACTGAACAGGTGGGTTTAAAATGGTGAAAGCAAGCCCAAGGCAGCAGCAACTCTGGTTGTTGCTGCCTGGGGACTGAACAGGTGGAGGCATGGTGCTGAAACCAGGCCCAAGGCAGCAGCATCCAGAGATGCTGCTGCCTTGGGACTGAACAGGTGGGTTTACAATGGTGAAAGCAAGCCCAAGGCAGCAGCATCCAAAGCTGCTGCTGCCTTGGGACAGAACAGGTGGGTTTACAGTGGTGAAAGCAAGCCCAAGGCAGCAGCAACTCTGGTTGTTGCTGCCTGGGGACTGAACAGGTGGAGGCATGGTGCTGAAACCAGGCCCAAGGCAGCAGCATCCAGAGGTGCTGCTGCCTTGGGACAGAACAGGTGGGTTTACAGTGGTGAAAGCAAGCCCAAGGCAGTAGCAACTCTGGTTGTTGCTGCCTGGGGACTGAACAGGTGGAGGCATGGTGCTGAAACCAGGCCCAAGGCAGCAGCATCCAGATGTGCTGCTGCCTTGGGACAGAACAGGTGGGTTTACAGTGGTGAAAGCAAGCCCAAGGCAGTAGCAACTCTGGTTGTTGCTGCCTGGGGACTGAACAGGTGGAGGCATGGTGCTGAAACCAGGCCCAAAGCAGCAGCATCCACGGTTGCTGCTGCCTTGGGACAGAACAGGTGGGTTTACTACGCTGAAACCAGGCCCAAGGCAACAGCATCCAGAGATGCTGCTGCCTTGGGACAGAACAGGTGGGTTTACAGTGGTGAAAGCAAGCCCAAGGCAGCAGCAACTCTGGTTGCAACTGTGTGCCTTTGCCTCGTGACACGTGAGCGCGATAGGACCCTCAAGGCAGCAGCGACCATTGTCGCTGTACTATAGTAGCAGTAGCAGAGAAATGGGCAGTCACCTGGGCTATCGTCTGTAGCGATCCGCAGGGGCGTGTGCTGCACCTTGCTCCCCGTCACTCCGCAGTATCCGCTTTAGTTGTGCGCGCGGTGGTTGTAGCCAGGTCACCTGGAGGGCGCGCTTCTCGTCGCCGGGAACGCGGGCTCCGCGTCGTCTGGAACGCGGGCTCCGCGTCGACTGGAGGGCGGGATCAGATCCGCCTGAAATGCGAGATCCGCGTCGCGAAAAAATGCGGGCTCCGCGTCGCGAGGAATGCGGGCTCCGCGTCGCACAGAACGCGAGCAGCTAAATGTGGCGAGCGAGTGCTGCTCGGCGCTTGGTGCGCGAGCCGAATCTAGTCCGCTTTCTTCCCCTTGGCTAGTCACAACGACTCCAATACACTCGTCGTTTCTTGTTGTGCCTAGCTACCCGTAGTCTCCAGTCTGTCATCACGACCTTCTTCCCGTTAGTGCAATCGCGCTTGCACGTTCCTACACTTTGTTGTTGCCAGCTCCTGCGAGGGTCGTTACCCAAGTAATCTGGGGTAAGGATCGTCTCGAACACGTTTCTGTTGTGGCGTTGAGTAGGTGGCGTTGATAACCTGCACGTGCTTTGCTTGCTCAGTTTTTCTATTTCCCGTTAGCATCGAGCTGATTCAGTGGTGAGGTGACTTCGGGTGAGCAACACTTTCCATGCTCGATGCAAGAGAGGATGTGTGAGAGAGCATGTGTGCGACACATTTGTCGCTTTGGGTTGGTGGGATTCGCAGGATTGGTGAGTGCGAAATGTTGACTTGTTTGCGGCGGAAAATTGTTCTCGCCAAGGGTAGCCAACCGAAATAGGCTTCGCAGATCTCGCATACAGCCTATTTCAAATACACATAACTTGATAATTTACCATGCTGACCCCGGGCTTTAACTCGTACACACAAATAGGTGTCTTATAATGAGGCTAGCCTGTTTATAAGAGACACCTGGATAATAGACAACCCCTGTCTACTATTCAGCACTGTCTACTATCCGGGTGATGACGGTATATGGTAAGTCATTTAGTTTACTTCAACAGCTAATATGATTTCACCTAAATGACAAGGTATGACGAAAAAAACAGTTCAAATCAGCTACACCGACCTGCATAAGCTACGCATGGGGGTCTACGACTGCGTTTGGTGGCTTATCTAGGTGTTTACGTAGGATTTGCAGAATCATGTATAGTATTTGCAGAATCATGTATAATACCGTAACAGACAGATGTGATGATAGAGTGGTCACCTTAAGTTCTGAAAATAGACATATGTTCACTTTTTTCTAACAACATGCCTGCATGAATCTCAGGTTCAATATGTTCCAGCCCTTTGACAATGGAAGTTACATATGTTTACAAATAAGTGTGCTGTGATATTTATTTATATATATTTATATGTCTTTCTTCAAGCAGCACATTCACAAAAATCGAGTAACCCCGCAGTGTTCCGAGTCGGAAAGTATGCGTATACCTTAGCTGTCGTGTCACCCTCCAAGTGTGCTTCGGGGCCGAGACTCTGACGCACAGTGCATCGAAACTCGCGGCGCGGTACCATCCTAAAACGGACACTTCAACCTCCGCCGCCCCGCGCCCTCTTAAAGCGCTGACGACCTCGACACGTCGTCTTCCTTCCTGCGCTTCGAAACGTAATTTCGCTGCTCTCTCACCCTCCCCCGCTCGCCGCAACTCCTATCCTGTCGCACGACCCCACACGTCACCCGCGCGGCACGCGTCCGCCTTCCTGCGCGTCGTATTCTCACTCTGTCGCTCGCCCTCCTGCTCGTCGCACGCGCGGGGGGCGCGCCACACAAAACCTGGTGCGCCGCGCCAGGCCAGTCGCGCTCATTTACCCCTTCCCCATTGGTCGAAGCCCTTTCGCGCCCCTCCATCCACTCCTCCGCGCCCCTCCGCGCGCCTTCGCTCCGAATTTCGCTCTGCCTATCGTATAGTGCAAGCATTTCTCCCAATCTAATCCTCCCTCTTCTCCCTCTCGCTTTCGCTCTCCCTCGCCCCTTTCCGTCCCCAGCCGCTGGCAGTGGAGAGGGCGCAGTGCGAGCGATAGTGGAGGCAGGGAGAGCGAGAGAGGAGAGAAAAGGAGCGAGAGTGGTGGCATGGCGGGGTCGGCACGGCTGCAGCGCCTGTGCCTCACCACACACCGCCAGCTGCTCGTGCAGAGGTGACAGTCGCCGCACCGCACCGCACCGCACTGCACCGCATTCCCTCGCACCGCACTGCACCATTCTGAGACACGTGGCCACACGGGCATGTATGCAACATGCTGTATACATCTCCTCACCCCCGCTCTTCTTGCCCCCCCCCCTCGCCTACCCTGTCCACCGCCCCCAGCGTCGTCGTCCCCACAGCCGCCCCGTCCGTGGGCGTGGAGGTGCGTGTGAGTGCGTGGCAGCAGAGGGGGAGGAGGGCAGGCGGATTGGGGGAGGGCGCAGGGCAGGGCGGAGGGGAGCAGGTGAGTGTGCGATGGAGAGGGGTGGCGAGCAGCAATGACGTCTGGAGAAGTGGCAGCGAGGGCAGCAGCAGCAGCAGCAGCTGGGGCAATGGGAGTGGCGGCAGTGGGAGCAGGCGAAGGCAGGCAGGCAGCAGCAGGTGCAGCGGTGGTGCGTGGCGTGGCGTGTGTGGTGCTGCTCGGCCCGTGCTGTGGCTGCCAGGGACGCACGGCTGTGAGAAGCGCTGCCGCACGCCAAGGGCGGGCAGGAGGGCAGTGCGCGCTGTGAGTGGTGAGGCTGGAATGGAGCAGCAGGGGGGAGAGGTGAGTAACGAAGAAGCGGGAGAGGAGGTTGTGGGGAGGGGGTCACAGGTGGGGCAAGGCGTTGCATTGGGGGCATTGGAGAAGGAAAAAGGGAAGGAGGAGGGGAAGGAGAAGGAGAAGGAGGGCACGTGGGCGAGCAGCAGCCACCACGTTCTGTTCTGCTCGCAGTGTGGCTCTCCCACCAATCTCATTGTGCCACCTGGTGAGTGCCCTGCAGCACGGCATTCGCCCTGTCACCCCCCCCTTCACCCTCACATCTTCACCATCATCCTCATCCCCACCCCCACCCGCACCCTCACCCCCAACCCCATCCCCATCCCCCCCCTCCCATCCCCATCCCTCCCCCCCCCATCCCCACCCACCACCCCAGCCCACATCTCTGTAGCTACCTCCGCAGTCGCTGATGCATCACAAGCCAAAGATATCCCCACAGCACCACTCACCTCCGCCCCGTCCACTCCTTCCACGCGCCCATCCTCCCTCTCCCTCCTCCTCACAATAAAGCAATGCCCCGTGCACCCGCCATGCCGCACCACTCCATCCCGTCCCCCTTCTTCCATCCCTCGTATCTCCCATCCCTCCTTCCTCCCACCCCCCTGGTACCACGGGCAGGGGACGACAAGCCAAGGGACGTGTGCAGCAGCGAGCGGTGTGGGCGCGTGCACTACGCCAACCCCAAAGTGGTCGTCGGCGCGCTCTGCCTCTGGGAGGGCAAGGTGGGGCGCTGTGTGTGTGTGTGGCAGACGTGGTCGAATAGGAACGGTTGTAAATGGGACGTGGGAATGAGCGAGAGGCAGAGCATGGTCAGAAAGTTCAGTGTTTCTGCCTTCCTTCCTTCCTTCCTTCCTTCCTTCCTTCCTTCCGTCCTTCCTCTGCGCTCTGACCTCACCCCTGTCATTCTGCCCCGTCCGCTCCCCTTGTCCCTTCGCAGGTGCTGCTGTGTAGAAGGGGCATCCCACCGTGTGAAGGCATGTGGGGCTTCCCTCAAGGTGCGTCGCTCCCTGTGCTTCCCTCAAGGTGCGTCGCTCCCTGTGCTTCCCTCAAGGTGCGTCGCTCCCTGTGCTTCCCTCAAGGTGCGTCGCTCCCTGTGCTTCCCTCAAGGTGCGTCGCTCCCTGTGCTTCCCTCAAGGTGCGTCGCTCCCGGTGCTTCCCTCAAGGTGCGTCGCTCCCTGTGCTTCCCTCAAGGTGCGTCGCTCCCTGTGCTTCCCTCAAGGTGCGTCGCTCCCTGTGCTTCCCTCAAGGTGCGTCGCTCCCTGTGCTTCCCTCAAGGTGCGTCGCTCCCTGTGCTTCCCTCAAGGTGCGTCGCTCCCTGTGCTTCCCTCAAGGTGCGTCGCTCCCTGTGCTTCCCTCAAGGTGCGTCGCTCCCTGTGCTTCCCTCAAGGTGCGTCGCTCCCTGTGCTTCCCTCAAGGTGCGTCACTCCCTGTGCTTCCCTCAAGGTGCGTCGCTCCCTGTGCTTCCCTCAAGGTGCGTCGCTCCCTGTGCTTCCCTCAAGGTGCGTCGCTCCCTGTGCTTCCCTCAAGGTGCGTCGCTCCCTGTGCTTCCCTCAAGGTGCGTCGCTCCCTGTGCTTCCCTCAAGGTGCGTCGCTCCCTGTGCTTCCCTCAAGGTGCGTCGCTCCCTGTGCTTCCCTCAAGGTGCGTCGCTCCCTGTGCTTCCCTCAAGGTGCGTCGCTCCCTGTGCTTCCCTCAAGGTGCGTCGCTCCCTGTGCTTCGCTCAAGGTGCGTCGCTCCCTGTGCTTCCCTCAAGGTGCGTCGCTCCCTGTGCTTCCCTCAAGGTGCGTCGCTCCCTGTGCTTCCCTCAAGGTGCGTCGCTCCCTGTGCTTCCCTCAAGGTGCGTCGCTCCCTGTGCTTCCCTCAAGGTGCGTCGCTCCCTGTGCTTCCCTCAAGGTGCGTCGCTCCCTGTGCTTCCCTCAAGGTGCGTCGCTCCCTGTGCTTCCCTCAAGGTGCGACGCTCCCTGTGCTTCCCTCAAGGTGCGTCGCTCCCTGTGCTTCCCTCAAGGTGCGTCGCTCCCTGTGCTTCCCTCAAGGTGCGTCGCTCCCTGTGCTTCCCTCAAGGTGCGTCGCTCCCTGTGCTTCCCTCAAGGTGCGTCGCTTCCTGTGCTTCCCTCAAGGTGCGTCGCTCCCTGTGCTTCCCTCAAGGTGCGTCGCTCCCTGTGCTTCCCTCAAGGTGCGTCGCTCCCTGTGCTTCCCTCAAGGTGCGTCGCTCCCTGTGCTTCCCTCAAGGTGCGTCGCTCCCTGTGCTTCCCTCAAGGTGCGTCGCTCCCTGTGCTTCCCTCAAGGTGCGTCGCTCCCTGTGCTTCCCTCAAGGTGCGTCGCTCCCTGTGCTTCCCAACCCCATAGTATCCTTCTTCCATGCCACACCATGCCGTGCCATGCCACACCATGCCACACCACACGGTGCCACACCGTGCCACACGGTGCCACACCGTGCCATGCTGGCAGGGTTCTTGGAGCTGGGGGAGTCGTCGAGGGAGGGCGCAGAGAGGGAGGTGCGCGAGGAGGCGTGCGCAGAGGTGCGAGTGAGAAGCCTGCTGGCCGTCTACAACATTCCCAACCAGGTCAGCCTGCTGGCCGTCTACAACATTCCCAACCAGGTCAGCCCTCTGGCCGTCTACAACATTCTCAACCAGGTCAGCCTGCTGGCCGTCTACAACATTCCCAACCAGGTCAGCCTGCTGGCCGTCTACAACATTCCCAACCAGGTCAGCCTGCTGGCCGTCTACAACATTCCCAACCAGGTCAGCCTGCTGGCCGTCTACAACATTCCCAACCAGGTCAGCCTGCTGGCCGTCTACAACATTCCCAACCAGGTCAGCCTGCTGGCCGTCTACAACATTCCCAACCAGGTCAGCAGTTGAATTTGCCGATGGCAAAGCAGGTCAGTTGAACCCAGCCATTCCCAGCCAAGCGCAGTCAGCTCCTGCACTGGCTGCCAGCCCCCTCGATCGCTGCTTCTTCATGATGCATGCCATCCTCATGATGCATGCCATCCTCATGATGCATGCCATCCTCACTGCACCCGCCTGTTTGCTCGCGTCTTGTCGCTCCAAACATGCACTCCACACAGCTTCCTCTTTAGAACCCCAACGCTTCCTCCTTTCTGACCCTCCCCAACCCATTTTGCCCATATTTTGCTCATAACACGTTCGGCTGCATAGGTTGGTTGGCTAGGTATGAGCATGTCAGTGCGTTGATACATGACCATGTGTATGTGCGTTGATACATAACCATGTGTATGTGCGTTGATACATGACCATGTGTATGTGCGTTGATACATGACCATGTGTATGTTTCTGTTTTCCATGAGTCCCACTCACCGTGAGTCCCACTCACCGTAAGTCCCACTCACCGTAAGTCCCACTCCCAACCTCCCTCACCCTCTCTCTACCCACTTTGTATCCATCCCCCTCTCCATCCTCCGCCCTTCTCCATCCTCCGCCCTTCTCCATCCTCCGCCCTTCTCCATCCTCCGCCCTTCTCCATCCTCCGCCCTTCTCCATCCTCCGCCCTTCTCCATCCTCCGCCCTTCTCCATCCTCCGCCCTTCTCCATCCTCCGCCCTTCTCCATCCTCCGCCCTTCTCCAACCTCCCCCCCTGCCCATTCTCCCCACTGCCCATCATCCCCCCCTCCTGCCCATCCGCCTCCCTGCCCATCCTCCCCCCCCCCTGCCCATTCTCCCCACTGCCCATCCTCCCCCCCCCCCTGCCCATTCTCCCCACTGCCCATCCTCCCCCCCCCCTGCCCATTCTCCCCACTGCCCATCCTCTCCCCCCCCCTGCCCATTCTCCCCACTGCCCATCCTCCCCCCCCCCCCTGCCCATTCTCCCCACTGCCCATTCTCCCCCCCCCCCTGCCCATTCTCCCCACTGCCCATCCTCCCCCCCCCCCTGCCCATTCTCCCCACTGCCCATCCTCCCCCCCCCCTGCCCATTCTCCCCACTGCCCATCCTCTCCCCCCCCCTGCCCATTCTCCCCACTGCCCATCCTCCCCCCCCCCCCCCTGCCCATTCTCCCCACTGCCCATTCTCCCCACTGCCCATCCTCCCCCTACCATGTGCCGCCCACCAGGTGCAGATCATCTACCTCGCTGACCTCCTCTCGCCGCACTGCGCTGCTGGTATGCCCACCTTCTGCTGCTCTGCCAACCCAATCACCATGTTCTTACAAGCCCTCTCATGCTCTTCACCCTCTCTTTCTCACCCTCCTGTCAAATGCACCCCTCTGTCGAACGTATTTTTAGTGCTTGAGCCAGAATCACTCCTGATGCTTATGCTTATCCCATTCCCAGCCTTTTTTTGCACGCGTTCGTCTCGCCATGTGCTTGTCTCCTATCCAATTCATTCTGTGCTCACGCCCCCCTTACCCCCCCACACCGTCACCTTCAGGCTCCGAGACACTAGAAGCGGGTCTCTTTGAGTGGGACGATGTTCCCTTCCCCGACCTTGCCTTCCCCACTGTATGCCGCTTGCCTTCCCCACTGTATGCCACTTGCCTTCCCCACTGTATGCCGCTTGCCTTCCCCACTGTATGCCGCTTGCCTTCCCCACTGTTTGCTCCTCGCCTTCCTCGCTGTATACACACACTCATTGGAAGCAATCTGGCATGAGCATATGGCGGGCCTCCTCCAGTCCATCTCGACTTCCTTTCGCATGCCTGTCCTGTGTGCCTCCAACACCACCACTGAGCCCCACCAGGTGGCATGGGCGTTGGAGCACGCGCGGCAGCAGCTGCAGCACCCACAGGCGGTCATTCAGCCGCAGCTGAGGACCAAAGTGGTCGGCACCACTGGCATGTTCAGCGGCTCCTATGTGGATGCATAACAACAGTTCTTGCTAGGATCGGGCTCTGAACGCTGCGTCGCAGTGAAGACTCTTGCAGAGGACGTTGCTGGTGAAATTCGTCATCCAGCCTACGTCGTCGTAGAGTTTATTTGCAAAGTGGAAATGTGGTGCAAATGCAAAGCCCAAAGTTTCAGGTTCCATTTCAGTTGTAAAGTACTGGTATTGATGAGTTGATGACTTAGGTGGTACAAAGCGTACTATTCCACAATTACTGCCACCGATTGTACTGGTAAATTAAAAGTAACCAGGAATACTAAGATATGACATTACCAGACTATTCACCCTCGGATCTCCACGACCGGATCTCCACGACCACTTTTCCTCGGCATGAACAAAGTGAAAGATGCGTGGAGAATCCTTCTAGTCGATTTCTAGTGTGCTGGCGAGACTGGCGAGCATCGCGTATGTACGGTAAGGTTGTTAAAATGTGGAAGAGGAATGTAGAGTAGCAAGGAAGGGGAGTACAAGAAGGATACCTACGGTAAAAGGGCTGTACCCCTTATAGCTAGCATGACTAAAGCCTATCAGAATAACATACACATACACATATATTTAACACACACCCCTAGGCTATTGAGGGATAGCAAGACCAACAAAGGATCACAAGACAAGTAAAGAGAAAAGGCAAAGCAAAGAAAAGGTCAGGGTGGATCTCAAGATCACCACACATTCTGAGCACAAGCAAGCGGCCACAAGGCCACTTCATATGCAACTTGATAATACCACAAGTAATATAACGATTACAACATAGCAACGTGAAGCATGCAGTTTATATATCAATGTACAAAGCAAGATAAAAAAATAAGCAGGTGAGGCAGAGTGGGCACAAGCCCAAGAGCAGTGCAGAAACGCTGATGATCACTAGACCCAAGGGCATTGGTGAAGACATCAGCAGTGTTGGCCTGTATGGCCACGTAAGCAAGACGAAGCTGACCACGCAGCTGCAGCTCTCGCGTGAGGAAGTAATGGAGAGCAATGTGCTTCGTTCTGTGCTCCAATCTCTGGTCCTGATACAAGGCAATCATGGCCTTGTTGTCGACGTACAAAACTGGAGGAGAATGAGGCCGCTTATCCAAGTCGGTCAGCAGGTAGGCTAGCCAGCTGGGCTCCTATGCGGCCATAGCCCAAGCGTAGATCTCGGCCTCACAGCTGGAACTCCAAGAAGAAGAGCGAGTGGACCTCCAAGAGATAAAACCAGTGCCGAGGCTGAAACTATACCCCTGTGTCGACCTGTGAGTCGTCTGGTCGTCAGCCCAAGAAGCGTCTGAGTGACCGGTGAGAACAACTGAACCCCGTCCTCCAAGCACGAGCCCCATGCCCGATGTACTACACAAGTAATGCAATACCCTCTTCGCAGCTTCTCAGTGCACTTTTGGTGTCTACCGAGAGCCACGTAACGAGCCAGGAGGTTGAGAGGGTACGCGAGGTCAGGTCGTGTGCACGTCATCAGGTACATGAGGCAACCCGCAAGCTATGAGTAGGGACCACTACGCTCTACAGACTCGTCCGAAGGTGCAGCTGAGAGCGAGTGGCCGGTAGACAGAGGAGCGGGCTGTGGCAAAGGGGACTGAGGGTATATACTGTACATTTGTAAATAGCAACGGCGATGTTGGTACGAGGAAGAAGCGATGGTTATGGAGGAGTGGGCGGGGAGTAAGGCTGCCGAGAAGTTAATGAGGTGACAGGAATAAGGCCAGGGACAGAGGGGGACACAGCTGGAATTCGCTGCTTTTGTTTCGTGTGCATGTGCATGTTCTTTTGTTTGGCAGGTTGGATGCTCGAGCCAGCTGGAATACAAGTGCAAGCTGGAGGATAGGTAAAGGAGTGGCTAAGTGGTGGTGGAAGGAGGGAAGGGACGTTGGCCTTTAGCTTTGCGAACAGGCCTTTGTTCAAGAAAGGCACTAGCGGTGTAGCATTAGGGGGAGGAAAGGGGTGGTTATGCATTGCTTGTATGTTCGGTGCTATTCTCACGAAACTGCAACATTTCATGTGCTTGTGAGATCTAAGGCCAGTATGAGCAATTGAGTGAAGGTTTCGGATCGTGAGGAGATGTGATCAAGCCAGGAGGGCTTATCACATACAAGCAATGTATGGAGCATTAGTATGCGGACAAGAGCTGGCACGGAGTACGAGCTAGAACGGAAGGGTGAAGTTGGAGGTGACGTCTTGGGAGAACAGAACGCAGTCATGCACCGGGGAACGGATACACGCGAAGACGCGGAGCAAGGACCGGATTCGCCCGGGCAAGAGGCAGGCGGGCGAGGACAAACAGAGCCACCAGTGGAAGGGTCGGCGCCGACTAGGGCGGAGAAGAAAGATTCGCAATCGGAAGAGCAACCGATGCGAAGTGCAAGGGAGGAACCGGATCATGGCTCCTATCGACGGAGCGCATCATGGCAGGAAGAGGCATCGGTGCAACGCTGGAAATACACCCTTCTGCTCAAGATCGAAGTGCCGGAACGGTTCTCCAGCGATACGCGGCGGAGACCCTCCATAAAGAATCACGTGATGCAACTGGAGAATTTACGAGCCCGCTGGGAGTGCAATCGCCTGGACCCTGAAAAGTTCTTCCGCGGTTTGGCGAACATGTCAGAACTATATAGCTTATACTATTGTGTAGGCTATAGTGGGGTATCCCATAGGGGGTACAACCCAATTAGGGTTTCCTATTTGTACTCACTTCTTTCATAGTCATTCCATTCTCGTTCTCTCTTTCACATGGAATCAGAGCAGGTCCCCTACTAGGGACTGTTTCTTGGGCCCACCGAAGCGCGCCCCGAGGCGCGCGTCCTTTTTTTTAGCGACCCTTCGTGTCGCCCTCCCTAGCGGCCTGTCGAGCCGCCCTACCTTGCGGCCCCGCCGCCCTATCGCGCGGCCTCGCCGCCCTAAGTCGCGGCCTGCCCGCCGCCCTACTTCGACGGCCCCGCCGCCCTACGTCGTGGCCCGCCGCCCTACTTCGACGGCCCGCCCGCCGCCCTACGTCGCGGCCCCGCCGCCCTGCGTCCCGGCCCGCCCGCCGCCCTACTTCGACGGCCCGCCCGCCGCCCTACGTCGCGGCCCCGCCGCCCTACGTCCCGGCCCGCCCGCCGCCCTACTTCGAAGGCCCGCCCGCCGCCCTACGTCGCGGCCCCGCCGCCCTCAGCTACGCGGCCCCGCCGCCTTCTGCTACGCGGCCCTGCCGCCCTCTGCTACGCGGCCCCGCCGCCCCTCGATCGCGGCCCCGCCGCCCTCTGCTAGGCGGCTCCGCCGCCCTCTGCTACGCGGCCCCGCCGCCCTCTGCTACGCGGCCCCGCCGCCCTCTCCTACGCGGCACCGCCGCCCTCTGCTCCGCGGCCCCGCCGAGCCGCCCAGCATCAGCCGAGCCGCCCAGCAGCAGCCGAGCCGCCGCCGAGCCGCCGCCGCCTGAGCCGCCGCCCGGGCCGCCGCCGAGCCGCCGCCGCCTGCGCCGCCGAGCCGGAGCCGCCCGAGCCGCCGCCGAGCCGCCCAGCAGCAGCCGAGCCGCCGCCGAGCCGCCGCCGCCCGAGCCGCCGCTGAGCTGCGACCGAGCCGCCGCCCGAGCCGCCCGAACCGCCCGAGCCGCCCGAGCCGCCCGAGCCGCCCGAGCCGCCGTGCTGCTGTTCCTGAGCTGTGTTCTTCTGCTGCTGACCTACCCGACTCTCCCAGCCCGGTGAGACTTCCAGCTGCTGCCATGGCCACCCCCAATGTTCTTACTTTTGACGCTGAGGGGAGGGCCATTGACTTTGCCGTCTGGATTGAAGACCTGCAGCTGTACTTACTGTGTGATGCGATAGATGAGGTCTCTCTTTTTGACTTTGTCTCTGGCGCTGTTCCTGCCCCACCTGCTGATGCTGACTCTGCCGTTCGCTCCAAGTGGGCGACCCGCGATGCTGCTGCACGTCTTGCTGTGCGTCGCCACCTCCCTTCCTCTGAGCGTGCCCACTTTAGTCAGTGCAAGACCGCTCAGGCCTTGTACGACGCTGTAGTTGCACGCTACTCCTCCCCTTCCTCCGCTACCCTTAGCCGCCTCATGCTACCGTTTCTCTTCCCTGACCTCGCTTCCTTTCCCACTGTCGCTGACCTCGTTACCCACCTCCGTGCTAGTGACACCCGCTACCGCGCTGCCCTTCCTGCTGAGTTCCGCGCTGCGAACCCTCCTCCCATGTACATCACCCTCTACTTTCTCGTCACCCGTCTCCCTGAGTCCCTTCGTGTCGTTAGGGACCAGTTTCTCTCTGTCTGTCCCACCACTCTCACTGTCGACCTCCTTGAGGAGTCCCTGCTAGCGGCTGAGAAGAGTATTGTCGCAGTAGGGGCCTCTCGGGGTGACCCTCGCACCCCCATCTTTGAGGGGTGTGGTCCTTCCCCCCTGCTGCCCTCTGTCGCCTCTGCCGCTGCGGCCGACCTCACTGGTTTTGAGTCGGTCGGCGCGGCGTCTGCCCCCAGCGGCAGACGCCGCTCTGGCAAGAGGAAGGGGGGCAAGGGAGCGGGTGGAGCTCGAGGGGGCGGTGGAGGAGGCGGTGGGGGTGGCGGGGGGAGTGGGGGTGGCGGTGGGGGTGGTGGCGGGAGTGGAGGTACTGGTGGCGGCGGTGGAGGCGGAGGTGGCGGCGGAGGTGGTAGCGGAGGAGGCGGTGGGAGCGGTGGGAGCGACGGTCCTGGTGGGGGAGGTGGCGGTGGAGACGGGGGTGGCGGTGGAGGCGGGGGTGGCGGTGGAGGCGGGGGTCGGAGTGGCTCGTCCCAGCGGAGCAGCTCTGGGGGTGGTCAGCGCCAGCAGCAGCAGCAGCAACAGCAGCAGCCGCAGCAGCAGCCACAGCAGCAGCAGCGCTCTCGCACCGTCCCCGGCCCTCAGCAGCTCCGTGAGTGGTACTTGCAGCGTCAGCGTGGTGGTGCGCTTGGTCCCTGCCCCTACGTTCTTCGCACAGGTGACCGTGCAGGGGAGAGGTGTGGAGGCGCCCACACAGCCCGCCGCTGCTTTGGCCGCC